CGCATTATCGCATGCAATATACAAGCGTGACAGTAAATTCCTTAGGATTCGAGGAACAGCTTTCAGCTGTTGTGGTGTAATCGAATTGCGATCAACTGGACAAGTATGTTGCCTTGACAACCATTCTTGTATACATGCTGTGCAGAAAGCGTGTTCACACTGTGGAGCCTGTACAGGTTCTTCTAAGACTCCGCTGCATATGGGACATACCAATTCTTCATCTACTTCACCTTGGAAACGTCCAATCTCAAAACCCATCTTTATACAATGTTTCTGTGGAAGAGTAAAACAAAGACAGAATTAATTAAAGTTTCATTCTCACTTTGCAAATATGTGGAACATCACTCCCAGAACTAGCTAAAACACAAGACAAGTTCCAATGATGCTGTTATATGATATACAATACATGTATATTGAAAATACAAGAGAACAGGGGCGCAGCGCCCTCATGCGCCCTGGGGAGCAGGATCCTCTGGCAACCATAAAATTCTGATTGACCAGGGATCACATGTGGCCACAGTTTTCAACTGTGACATGTCTGATAGTAATTTTGGCCCCAAGGAAGCCATAGAATGCTCCATTTTAACTTAGAATTATCAAAAATCCATACCCTGGTAGGAAGAACCCTGTCTTCCCCCACTTGGTGGCGTCGCTGAATTGCAGTGCTCCTTCTTGCAGTTTTTTTCTACAAAAACCCCTGTTCACACACATATCACTTTGTAAGTATTGAAGGGTCTTATTCCTTAGACAAACATATCTACACTAACTCCTACTAACTCAGTGAGTGTCTATCATTTACAAATCAAGCTTTATATTTTAAACTCATATTTTATAATTAATTTCTCATTACCTATCAGCACTCTCAACATTCCATGGTGTATATATTGGTCAGAGAATGGTATCACATAAAAGTTAATTTTAACAACATTATCATACACGTATGTAAGATGTCTTCTCATTTTCACATTCAGTCTTTCTCAACTATTAGACATTGTGAAATATTTTATCATTACCGGTACTTTCCGTTGTTGCATTTACTGAAGGGGTTAAGTCTAGTGAAAACACTATATTCTATGCTTCACATGAATTTGTGAATTTAAATATATATATCTCTCAATTTAATTTACAGTTTACAGTTAAAAACAAGTACTGTGGAATACTTTATATTCACTGGAATTAATTTTCGCTGAAAAGGCTTTTTGGGCGTTTTGTATGGAATTTATTTTCACTGATTTTTGATGAGTTTAATGTGAAATATAGAAAAAAAAATATATTCGCTGGATTTTATTTTTACGGAATCATCCCTTCAGCGAAAATAAATTCCAAGCGAAAATAAAGTATTCTACAGTATTCCACTGTATTTCATAAATGCAGTAATAAAGCATCTATAATATTTTTTCTCTATTTGCTTTGTTTTTAAGAGAATAAAAAATAACTGAAAACCAGAAAGTCCCTGTTTATTTTTTTACAACAAATCTCTTTCTGGATTAAAATTACAATGGATAACAAAAGATAGATTAATTTTTTAAACATAAACTACAGTGTCCCGAGATTCTTTGGTGAAATCCCTGGGCTTGGAAGGTTCCCCTTTAACAATTGAACAGTGAAAGTTTCTTCCATGTGGATCTTCTAGTTCCATAAGTCATTACACTCACAGATAATAAATTACTAATCAAGAGTATTCTAATTTCAGATTAAAACTCTGAAATCACTCATTTACCAAATGACATATTTGTTTTCATAGAAAATCTGATCATATGTTGGTCACACACACAAACACACACACATAGACTCATGTCAAGGGCTTCTATCTGCATACAGGTGCCAAAAACAATTCAAGTCTAAATCTAAATGAATTTAGCTATTGTGGAAAGACAACTTTTGACAACTTTCACCAAATAAAAATTGCTTAAATTTTTTTATATTTTATTTTTACGTTAACCACATATATAAATACATAAAATTATCACATCAAAAGAAAACAATTTCTACACAAAAACCATGGTAACGAGATAATTATAAGAATATGAATTTTTTCATATTTTTTGAAAAAATTAAACTTGTAACCAATAATGAAAAAAGTATAAAAAAATAAATAAAAAATAGGAAAAATGTTGAACCAAACTTTTGGTTGGAAAAATTAAGGTTAAAGAGAGGTGGTCGTTGTCTGCATGTTGAATATAGGGCTTGTAGCGACGACATATACAATGCATGTAAAAAACAATGTTTGTTTACATGAAATTCAAACATGTGCTGCAGCTGATAAAATCAAATATCTCAAATACCTTGTAACAGAAAATGACTGACCTGAAACACATATCTATTGTGATAGCAAAGACCCGGGACAATTATTGATAAAAGCAATCTGGTGGTTCATTTTGATCAGTTTTTAATCAAATTTATACCAAAATAATCAGCACAATTAGAAAATATGCTTAAGAAATAAACAAATCTTCACCTACATGTAAGAAAAAACTGATGGAGTGATTTATCACAGCAATGAGTACAATGAAAACCAGAAGCTGAAAATGAGATGGTGGAGTAATAAATGCTATTAATAGAAAAGTCATAGACTTCAATTCACAACCAGCAGTTCCAACAAACAGACTAAAATAAACAAAATATCAAATTTTGATCACAATTATGATACTATGTCACTTATTTAAAACTTTTTCAACACAAATGAGCAAAATAGAAATTGTATGTACAAAGGAGCAGACTATGGCTTAGGCCAAAAAAAAACAAACTTATGTTGCCCTCAAGTCGGATAATTGAAAAATTAGTTCGGCTGGTCGGATTTTTTTTTTTTTTTTAAGCGACATGACTTTGCTAAATTTAATAGTTGATCCAGCTTTTGCTATCATGCACACAGCAAACAGGTTCGCCATGTTCTCTACCGCTGCACACATGTTTGTACACACAAACAACGTGCAAAAGCCGTCGTTTTGTTGGTAATGTAAGCGGATGGGAGTTTTAATATAAAATGTCATTCAATAAAATTTTGTGCATTTCATGTATTAAAAATTATATTTACTACAATAAACGTATTGTTTTTGATTCAAAATAATGTTTTCATTTAATTAAGAAAATATTTTTAATAATGTGCACAACTATCAGTCAAATCGCAAACGGTGAAATGGCCTGATATGCAAAAAACTTCATAGTATTCAAACAGCGGCCCGGGGTCGTTAATTTTTAGAGGAAACATTTTTTTACTGCTTAAAATGGTTAGTTTTTAATATTTGGGTCAATTAAAACAAAAACAAAAAAAAACACAACCCGATATTTCATATTTTTTGGTCGGTCGATGAGGGCAACAAAACAATTTTTTTTTTGGCCTTATGATGATGCCATAATGATGTTAAATTACTTTATTATAATCAACTTCCACCCCACTATTACTGAAGTTGTCTAAAATTCTTCTTTTATATCCTATCAATGGTATCTTTTGTCTGTCACATACTGTTAATTTATTGTACACGTGGATTGCTGATGAATTCAGAACTACGTGACAAATATTTCCAGGAAATTAAGTCTGTGGCTGGCAGTCTTCCTTAGTATTAATCAATTATCACTGCAGTATACCACATAGTTCGAGCATAACTTAACATTTAGACTCATAAATCTTTGCATTGCATTATTTGCTTACATGTTTCCATATAACAATCAATAGATGTGGATTGCTCTTGTTTTTCTTCAACTTATTTTATGCAGTATGGCGATATGTATGTACAATTAGTCCTAAGCTGGTTAGAAGCTAGGGTGAGCTTGCTTTTAAAACTGTAACATATGTGAATTGTGTAGAGTAATGTGTCTACATAAGTGCATTAGTAACATAGGTAAATACTACAAAGAATAAGTTGAAATTATTGATTTCAATGAATTTACTCACTTTAGAAGGTTGTTATGGAATGGCAAAGACAGCTGATAGCCAGATTGGAAATTCAGTTACACTTAGGGACGACGTCAAAAGATCAATGTCGGATAAAAACTTATTTGCTTTAGTTTGGGGGTGGGGGGTTTTGACCTCAAAAAGTTTCCATCCTGCAAAAACGATTTTATTTCGAAAGTCGAAAAAATCTTGGAGTATAACAGAAAATGAAAAAACAAACTACAAGACGAGAAAATGGTTTGGTCAGAGTGTAAATATATACGTCAAATGAACTGCTATGCAATACTACTGTCCGATTATCAATTTGTATTTAATGGTGAATGTAGTCTGACGCCATGATCAATATTTATCAATTAAGTTTCAGTGGGGGGAGGGGTTTGGGAAACTAAATTAACTAAAAGGAATAAAGTTTTTTATCCTACATTGAACTTTTGATGTTGTCCCTAAGACTGTACTGTACTGTAATATTTAACCTTTTTACCACCAGACTTCCTTGCCCAAATTTGTCTGCAATTTGTTTATATATTCTTCAATATTTCAGAAAATAAACCCTAATTTTGGAGCCAACAGTCAAAATTTGAATCAATTTTCACTCAAAAAAGTTGGAATGTGCAGACTATAAGCAGGACTATTTTGTGATGAAAAGAGGAAACTGGTGGTGAAAAGGTTAATGCTAAGGAAGCACTCAGTGACTCATAAAATTCCATTCTGAGAATTTTTTTTCTGAATTATCAGGATTTACAACACATACATTTCCAAAGCCAACAATGTTTAATTATCAATCACTGCTTACCAGGGCTTGATACTATGTATGCTGTAAATATTTTATTTTCTTTTGAAATTTATTATTATTTGGAATAAAAATCAGTGAAAATAAATTCTATACAAAACACCCAAAAAGTATTTTCCAGCAAAGATTTATTTCAGCAATTAATAAAGTATTTTACAATATTAGAAATTAATACAAATAATACAATATATACATGACATATTAACTGCCATTTGAAAAAACTACAATTTTCAAATGCATTGTGGGAAAAGATAACCTGCTCATGAACATAGAAAGCTGAGTCACATCAGTGCCATCCAATGGATTATGGGTACACAAATTATTTGTAGAAAGCCACTGGTGTATTGTGGGTAATTAAAAAGAGTAGGAAAAGTCATAAATTACCTTTTTGAGGTGGATAAACATTTCTGTTTTTTTTTTATAATTTGGTGGTGATAGCCAACACACAAAACTGACTCATAAAAGAAGCCAATATACGATTGGCCAATAAACAATACATCAAGACATTCAAGTTTATTTAACCAATCAGGTGTTACATGCTACAACAGGGGTAGAGGTCACCCACATCAGTTGTTTAACCAATCAGAAGGT